CTCTGGGACTGGAGTTATGGACAGTTGTTAGCTGCCATGTGGGTGCTGGGATTCGAACCTGGGTCTTCTGCAAGAACAACCAGTGTTCTTAACTGCTGAGCCATCTCTCCAGCCCCCATATCACATTATTTTTAAAGATGTATTTTAAAGCATCAATTATGGACCATTCATTATGACAAGTGCTGAAGCTAAAATATTTAGAACATGTTCTCTGTCTTCAGAGAAACTGCAATACACTAGAACAACAGAGAAATAACAATATAGTAATAAATGCTATACTCTGACATTGCTATTGAAGAACTGAGGACATTTTCCCAAGTTAGTTAGAACTCCTGATAAGAGTAACAAAATGAACTGACTCCAAAAATATGCATACTATTTAATGTCATGTTGACCCTTACTGTTACTAGGCAATCCTAGCTAGACCAAATTTTTTCCATACAGCTCACTCTGAGGAGGTGGGCCCTCTGACTCCCTCATCCACCTTCATCTTCCCTACCACAAGCCAGCTCTGTGCCTTCACCCCTCCTTCTGTCCTCCCTGTACCTCAGAACAAGAGGAAAACTTTATCCTTTCAAAAATAACCACACCAGTTGTGCTCTGGTTCTTATTCCTCAATCCCCAGATGTGGTTCTATTGATTTGGAAGCCATGTGTGGTGGTTTGAATGAGGTGTCCTGGTAGTCTCAAGTATTTGAACACCTGGTCAGTTGGCAGTGCTGTTGTGGGAAATCATGGAATCCCTAGGAGGTGCAGCCTTGCTGAGGGAAGCACATCACTGGGAGCAGGTTTGAGAATTAACAGTCATGTCCCATTCTCAGTCTGTCTCTCGGCTTTCTGTGCATGCTTGAAGATGTGAGCATTTGGTTTTATGGTCTGGCCGCCTCCTGCTACCATCCTCCCTGCCACAATGGATTCTTGTCCCTCTGAAACTGTAATCCCAATAAACTCTTCCTTCTATGAGTGGCCTTGGTCATGCTGTTTTATCACAGCAACAGAACCGTAACTAATACACGATGAGGAAGGAAAGTGTATAGAAATATAGAAACTACTACTGACAGTGGGAGGAGGACTGGCCAATATGCCAGGAGATTAGAGAAAGTCTTAGGCCTGCTCTAACTTGTGTGATCTCATGCAGGTCACTTTGGCTATCCAAATCCAGTATCTTTAATCCAAATCACTAAAGAAAGCAGACTCTTGGATCTCTATGATATCTTCTAGAATGAACATTTTCAGATTCTTCTAGCTTTTTTTTTTTTTTTTAAAGAGAGGTTTTTGCTATATATAACATAGCCTGGCTCAAACTCATGATCCTCCTGCCTCTGTCTCCTGACTGCTGGGATTATAAACATGTAGCACTATACCAGCTCTACAACTCTTAATACTCTTCCTCATGATCATTTTCTGGTCTTTATTTGTTTGTTTGTTTCTTTTTTTCTTTTTTGAGACAGGGTCTTCCTGTAGCCCCACTTGGCCTGGAGATTGCTATGTAGACCAGGCTGACCTTAATCTCACAGAGAGCCACCTGCCTCTGCCTCCCAAGTGCTAGGACTAAAGGCATGTATGTGCCCAGCTTCTTCATAAGCTTTTCATCTTAATTTTAACCTCTACCCCTAAGGTGGGCCACCTGGTTCCGTCTTTAAGTTCATCTTTGTTCATGAACAGTGTCCCTCTCAAAGAGGTTACAAGCTCTATGTAAGGACCAGGAGTCAGAACTGAATCAGTAGATTTAGCATTCACCAAAGGGATGAGAACATCCCTACACAGGCCACTTCAATATTCCCTAGCAGAATGGAAAAAGCATGGGATGATCTTACCTTTTGTTGCTTCAGGAAGTCCAGGGCAATCTGCACATTTTGCAGCCTGTGAAAACGCATCCTGCCCTTCTCCCGGGGCTGCAAATCAAGAAATGGGATGCTAATTTTAAGTATATCAATGTATTCACACATAACCTTTCCTCTTTCAATGACTAAAGGATCACACAAGATTTCCTCATGGATGAGGCCAGGCGTGGGAGCATGAAACAAAGCACCCTTAAGAGCAGGACCTGCATGTGCTGACCAGGCTCACAGCAGCTGAAAATGCCTTGCACAAGCTTACACACAAGCTTATTCGAGCTCAAATGCTGGATCTGGTATCCAACCTTTGCCACAGATTCTTCTGTGGTCATAAGTGGCAGAGCTTGATTTAAAATGTGAGGTTAGTGGGAGCACAGAGTATAACTCTATAGCTCCTAAAAGCCAATTATCTACTGCTGTAGAGACAAGGCAGAAAGTCCTAACTGTATCCCTCACAATAATGGACAGAGCCAACCTTATTTCAAACCTGATCAAAGGAGGTTGAAAGTGGGGAGCCATTTCTTTGGTTTTTTGTTTTTAAATAATTTTAGGTGTATGAGTATTTTGCCTGCATGTATGTAAATATATCCATGTCATGCAATGCCCTTGGAGGACAGAAGAGGGCATCGGAGTCCCTGGAACTGGAGTTATAGACGGTTGTTAGCCTGCCAGGTGGGTGCTGGTCTTCTGCAAGAGCAGCCAGTGCTCCTCACCACTGAGCCATCTCTCCAGCCTGTTTTTGATTTTTTGACAGGGTCTCCCTGTAGTCCCAGTTGGCCTAGAACTCACTATGTAGACAAGACTGGCCTAGAGGACTCCCAAGGGCTGGGGTTAAAAGTATACATAGTCATGCCCAGCTGAAGCCAGTTTTTAAGTTGCAAAAATAAGGAGTTAGAGATGCTTGAAATTTTTTTTTAATCCAAAATGGGAGACAATCTAGGAAGTAGTTGAGTGTCACTGTAAGAAAGTCACCTTTTATCCTAAAATGAAATACATTGGCAATTAAAATCTCAATGGTGAAGGGATGTTTAGCAAAAAGTATCTCAAAGAAAGGTGTTTTTGCCAATCAATCCTTCAGGTCATACAAAGACAGCAGAGAGACACTATCTCCATCCGGTGTCTCTCATGCCCTGCCTAAGGATCAGTTATTATTCTTAGAAAGTAAAGTCTGTGTAGCAGGTGGTGAAACACCTATCTACTGCTGAACATCTTCTTGCTTTGCACTGTTGTTTTTTTTACCAAAACTAGGACTAGAGCATCACTCTCATTAGATTATACCAATTCATTTGTAGAAGTCAAATTGGTACTAATTAAAGGCTGGAAAAAAAAAATCTAAGGCAGTTCTGTGCTGGGTATCTGCACTAAGGAAATGTTGTCCCATGTTGAAGCAGGCACATAGTAGCCTAGATATGGAGAGAAGGATGAGTGTCTCTCTGGGTACACCCCAGCACTTCTAAGCAATGTTCCCCAAAAAGGATGATCTGAAGAAATGCCAAGACCTCCAGACAATAGGGTAACTTCTTCAGTGAAGGCCGAAGGAAAATCTTTTCAGCAAGAACCTGTTCTCAGTCATTTCAGATAAATTGTGAATATGGCTAAGAGAATGACAGTTTGTGAAACAAAATTCTAAGGCAATGGGGAAGGGTGATGAAGAGATGACTTTAAGAGGACAGGGATTATGGGGATTGCCCTTGTTTCTGGAGAAAGATTATGGGTTATAATTTAGGACCTATCAGCAGAAAAGACTCCTTTTATATATATTAATCTTTATTCCTAACATATCCTCCATCAAAAATAGTCTCAGAACATGCAAGTTAAATCTCTGTTCTCTATAGCAACTAGAGAGATTATTAAAGTCAGAGTATTTCATGCAGTGAGTTTGCAAATAACACTCTATTTTGAAAACAAATGGTATGTGCTTGGTGAGAGCCTAGAGACTAGAGAAGTGGAGGGAGAATGCTAGTTAGTCTGTACTACAGAACAGTGAGCAATTAATTGTCATGCTGTCAGCTAAACTTTCCACAATTCTACAATCTGGATTCAGACAACATGACAGGGCCACCAGAAAGCCACAGGTCTCCAGGTTACAAAGGGTCTTGACACTGCCAAATGCTATGATTGCTTTTGTGTCAACCATTCTCAGATAAGTAAAGCAATTCCTACTCCAGGATCATCTAATGGTTGTAAGAGGCACAATTAGTTTTAACCACTTTCTTTGGGACCCATATTCCCAGGTGGAAAGAGAAGGCAACTAGTGACTGAGCTACTTGGAGACCGAGAGAACTGTGGCCTCTCTGCTGGCCCTGCAGTGTCAGCAGTGCCAGCTGGGATGCTGGCAACCCTTGGAGGACCTACTACATCATCATCATCTTCTTCCTCCTGCTCCTCGCTGTTTGTATGACGCCAGGAGGGCATGCTCACCAGACGAAGGGTCTTCAGCCCTGCTGGCTCCTTTGGCCACCAACCAAGAAAAACACGTAACAAAGGAACAGGAAATTCACACACACAGATGAAAGGGAAATGAATAAAGCATATAATAAAAAAAGAAAGAAAGAAAATACTCTCCCACTTCCAAAAGAGAGAAAACCAAATCAAGATCAGATTGTTACACTGAACATTTCCTATTGAACACATCTTCAATTTTCTGTGTCTACCTACCCTCTCTACTTTTGTGAGTCAAATAAGGGAGAAAAAGGACCATAACAACTGTGAAAGATACATTTAGATGCTCTTTGGTGAAAAGATGATATGAGCATCTCCACAAACAAGGTTTTCAAAGGTTAGGAAAAGAAATTAGAGTTTACCCTGCTTCATAAGCAGGGTCACCAAAAAGGATAACTTTCCAAAACAAATCACTATAAGTTCATCAGATATAAGTCACATTGTTCAAAATGTTAACTTTGTGAGTGTCAAAGAATAAAGTATAGCATGGTAAGAATGAAATTCTGATTACTTACTAAATTTATAAATGAGTGCCAGAAAAGAACTAGGAATTACATGTGCTAGCTATGCTAACAAAGGCTTATGGCAAATTTGGCCACTAAAAAAAAATACAAAATTAATTCTACTCAAAACAAAAAAAAAAAAAAAAAAAAAAAAAGTAAGACCAAAACAAAGGGCCCCAGGGAAAGCCAAGCCCCAATCCCAGAAGGAGTAGAATATCACATAAGCAGTGAAATCCAGCATGCCAAATTCTGTTCTTTAACCACAACAAACAATGACTGAAAATTCACCAGAGTGGGTTGGAATTCAGACTGCTCCAGTTGTGTGCCTCCTCGGGTCTATTTTTCTTTTGGTCTTTTTGAGATAGGGTCTCCCTGTAGCCCCAGCTGGCCTGGAACTCACTATGTAAACCAGCCTGGCCTTGAACTCACAGAGCTCTGCTGGTCTCTGCCTCCCAAGTGCTGGGATTAGAAGCATGGGCCACCATGCCCAGACCTCAGGTTTATTTTTCCTCACAGATGTTTCCAATATTCAAGTATGGTCTTTTCCAAATGAAAATCACATTGTGGCACTGGACAGCAAGATGCCATCTACAGGAATACTTGCTTCCATAGGGTTCAGAAACAATGGCCCAAAGAGCATTATTTTGATTCTACAAAGGAAGGAAGTATAAGAACTCTCCTTTGACAGGTCAAGAGGCTCGGTCAGGGTTTTCTTTTAGATGTGAAGGGTTTCTCACAAACAGTGTTAAACATATTTGGGGACAAGGCAGGCATATTAAATATTGAAGAAGCCCAGGGGTACTGCTTTCGGAGACAACTCTCAGGCACCAACTTCAGTACTTTCCACATCCATAGGATGCAACAAATCACAGAAGGAAGAAAATGAGATGAAGTAGTGGCAAAAAAATAACTCCAAACACTTCAAATTCAGAGCTAAGCCAGGTGTAGTGGTGCACACCTTTAATCCCAGAGCTTTCTAGTTCAAGACTAACCTGGTCTACATAGTTCAGGCCAGCCAGAGCTACAAAGTGAGACCTTGCCTTAAAACAACAAAAAGGAAAAAAAAAACCCTTACCTGAATACAGAAAATTAGAAAGGGGGGGGGGGGGACGGACATAATAAACAGGGAAGTCTTATACAGACTAAAACTAAAACCCTTGGAAGAAAAAAAATGCCATTTATTCAAAAACCTTTAAATGTGAATCTAATGATCCTGAAAGACCAGTATTTTGTGTGTGTGTGTGTGTGTGTGTGTGTGTGTGCGCGTGTGTGTGTGTGTGTGTATGTGTGTGTGTGTATACACACAGATGAATAAAGGTAAGGAATGGCTAAGATGTCAGACAGATATGAAACATAATTGATCTCTGAATTTATCAAGACATGAGAGTAAGAGCTGGAGACACAGCTTTAGTTCACGTTGCCTGCCTAGCAGATGTGAGGCCACAGGTTCAAGCCTCAGGACTTTGGGGGAAGGGGAGACACAACAAAAGGCATGATAACATATAATGCATAAACTGATGTCATCTGTAAACTATAAGTCTGAGTTAGAAATAAAGTGTACCAATAATCTCTTTTACTTCTTCCATTCACCCAGTGGGGTAAGCATTAACATGGACTGCTGTCAGTCAGTGGCTGCACTGGCAGGCCACTCACTGGAAGAAAGCAGCTCACCAGTTTGATGCCTGAGAGAACCTCCAGAAGGGAGATAAGGTTGTGTCCATCCCGAAGGTCTTCATACAGATCATTGATGTGCTTGCGGACCTGTGAAGGAGTAAGGTAAGTCAGTCATTATCTGATCTGGAATCACTCTATCACCCACAGAAGAGTCTCTGGTTCTAGATAAAGATAAAGATTGTGAATTGAGAAGCAGTGATAAAATAACAAAACTCAAGGACTTCTAAGTCAGAGTAAAATATATATGGCATGATAACATTACCAAAGCCCATGTTTTCTAAACTGAGGCCAGATTTACTGTATACTAAATAACATTAAACAGTATTTAAGAAAGTATGAAAAATCACAAAAATTCAATAAAAAATAAAAGGAAAAAAAAAGAGAAAAAGTCTAGACAAGGAGATAGGGAATCAATTATCCTAAAACATTTCAAGAATTACTATGGAGCCAGGCTTGGTGGCGCACACCTTTGATCCCAGCACTCAGGAGGCAGAGGCAGGAGGATCTCTGTGAGTTCAAGGCCAGTCTGGTCTACATAGTGAGTTTCAGGACAGCTGGCACTACAGGGAGACTCTGTCTCAAAACAAAACAAAACACAACACAACAAGAATTACTATGGACTAAAATGTAATTACTGGGTGGCTAAAATTAACAAATGAGTCTAGCCAGTGTCAAAAAAGCCTTCCAGGCTTTAATCAAGAAATTAAATTTCTTTTAATCAAGAAATTAAATGCAGGCTGGGCGTGGTGGCCCATGCCTTTAATCCCAGCACTCCAAAGGCAGAGGAAGGTAGATCTCTGTGAGTTCTCCATAGCGAATCCAGGCCAGCTGGGCCTACAGGGAGACCATGTCTCAAAAAGACCTAATAATAATAATAATAATTATTATTATTATTATTATTATTATTATGAGGAGGAGGAGGAGAATTTAAATGCCAGCTGGTGTGGTGGCGCACGCCTTTAGTCCCAGCACTTGGGAGGCAGAGGCAGGCGGATCTCTGTGAGACCCTGTCTCAAAAAAGACCAAAAAAAGAAAGAAAGAAATTAAATGCTAAAAAAAAAAAAATTTAAATGCTAGGCACCTAACATTTCATGGTATATACTCCAATTTAATCTTCTCTTGCCATATATTTCTAATAGTAAATCTGAGAATTATTTAAAAATTTTAAATTACATTAATTTAAATTAATTACAATTTAATAATTACAACTATGGTAAAACAGATCTCAGTTGGGGAAAATGTGGTTGATGTCAAACATCATGCTAAATATTTTATATTTTATCTCATATCCCCTGTACATCTATGAGCATAGAGATAAATAAAAGATACTCTTAAAAAAATTTTTTTTGTCTATTTGAGATGGGGGTCTCCCTGTAGCCCCACCTGGCTTGGAACTCACTATGTAGACCAGGCTGCCTCTGCCTCCCAAGTGCTAGGATTATAGGCATGTGCCACCATGCCCAGCTTATCATTCCTATTTTATATATGAGGAAATAAGTTACACTGAGTCAGTAACTTGCCCAAGTTCACGAAGTAGAAAATGTGGCCTTAGTTTGGACTTTCTGGTTAGTCTTTTCTATTAACAACTATGCTATATGGTCAGCCATCAGCTTGTTTTATTTATTGAATCCAAAGAACTGCCTTGTGAAACATTTTTTTTTATTTTATGTGTATGCATGTATTGCTTGCATGTAGGTAAGTGCACCCATGCTTTGCAATGCCCAAGGAGATCAGAAGAGGTTGTTGGATCCCCTGGGACTGGAGTTACAGACAGTTGTTAGCTGTCATGTGGGTGATAGGATTCGAACCCGGGTCTTCTGCAAGAACAGCCAGTGTTCTTAACTGCTGAGCCATCTCTCCAGCCCCTTGAGACTTATTATTACCATTCCACAGAAGAAGGACTAAGGAGCTGGGGTCTCACTGCTATGAGTTAAGTTGCCATAGGTTTTCTGACTCTTTCCAAATCTAGCAACAACTTCACTGAGTGAAAATGAGAAGATCTTTACATAATTTTGTAGGCAGAAAAAGAAAGGCTACTTGCTGGGGGACCCTGCTGCTAAGGTTGTAGTCCTCCATGTCCGGATAGCTCTAAGGGGCTCAGCACTATATGGAAGGACTCCCTTTCTCAGCGGGGCCTCCTGCTTTCTGCCTGACTTACCTGGAAAGTGCCACCAAGAACAGATGCCTGACCTTATTTGGAACATGACCTTTGGCATAGTTACCTGCAATAAAACTGACCCCAGGTTTTTTCTATATGATAATTAGGCATTGTGCTATAGTCAGATTATGGGATCCCCCTGCCACACGTAAATAAAGCATACTATGAGCACCTATCAGCTGAAGCTTTGGCTGCTGCCTCCACACTATATTTTCCCTGACCCCCACTGAATAAATGGAGCTGTATCACTGAATCTGACTCCCCGGAAAGTCTTTTCCGTTGTGCTTACTGGCCATCCTGACCCCATTCGTCGCTTCTGCTCCCTTTGTCCTTGTGGATCGGTGGTCAACGGTGGCCAACAGCCCTTAAGGGGAGGGAGAGACCCACAGTTACTTTCAAAGGTAATGGATTTAAACTGGGTATAGTGGTCTACATAGTGAGTTCGAGACCAGCTTGGGGCTACAGGGAGACCCTGTCTCAAAAAAAAAAAAAAAAAGAGAAAGAGAGAGACCAACAGCCAGGCATGGTGGCACACAATCAGGGTAGGGATATCCAAAGTACTAAATGCTACAATAGGGGTCAAGGAGAACTTAAAAAAAAATTTTATGCTTTTTAAAAAGTATTTTATTATTAGGGTCTTTAATCCCAGCACTCAGGATGTAGTGGCAGGAGGATCTCTGAATTCTAGGCCAGCCTGATCTACATTGTGTGTTACAGGTCAGCCACGGCTTCAAAGTAAGGCCCTGTTCTCAAAAATCCACACTCAAGAAAAAAAAGAATTTTATTATTATTATTGATGTGCGGGGGGGCACTTTTCAAGAGAGAGGTAGAATCGGGTATGGTGGCCCATGCTTTTAATCCAGCAGAGGCAGGCAGATCTTTTTGAGATGGAGGCTCTAGGCCACCTGGGACTACAGGGAGACCCTATCTCAAAAAGACCAAGGGAGGGAGGGAGAGAGAGAAGGAGAGGGAGAGGGAGGGGGAGAGAGAGAGGGAGAGGGAGGGGGGAGAGAGAGAGGGAGAGGGAGGGGGAGAGAGAGGGAGAGAGAAAGAGAGAGAGAGAGAGAGAGAGAGAGAGAGAGAGAGAGAGAGAGAGAGAGAATATGATATAGAAATCATATTGCCAGGGTTTGGGGACATAGCCCAGTGGTACAATGCTTGCCTAGCATGGATGAGGCCCTGGGTTCAATATCCAGTACTTTTTTTTTTTAGCTAGAAAATAGTAAATAGTTGAGATGAAAGATTATGAGAAGAGACACCTGAGTTAAATAAAGATATATTTTAAAATTTAAAATCACATATTTGCTATGCATGGTGGTACAGGAAGTAGAATCAGAAGGCTCAGGAGTTGGAAGGCCAGATTGAGACCTTGTCACAAATAATCACAGCACTTACCCCATCCCAAATCAAAACCCCACACTTCATCATCTTCACTTTAGGTATGATCAGTGCTATACATATTGAAGGCATGTAGTTGTATAATCTTTTTGTTTAATTCCCAGGGGAACCATTATTCTAACTTGGTAGACATGATTCTTCTTTTAGGTTTTTTGTTGTTATCTTGTTTCCTTGCATTACATTGCCACTCTGCTTTGAACTCCTGGCCTCAAGTGATTCTTCTGCCTCTGCTTCCCAAGCACTGAGGCCTGCAGGCATATGTCACTACTAGAAAACATCAGAATTGGGTCTGGATCACTTTATCCTTATTCTTAGTTGTGTTCTTTCCCCTAAAACTTCTATGATGCCGTAAAACTCTCTAGAATTTTAATGCAGACACTTGTTCTCACTTGTACATTTGATCTCAGCCCTGATGTTTTATCTTCCCATCTTATTTAAGACTTTGTTTTTCCTCTCCTAAGTCACACTGAATAAAGTTTTTGTTCCTTTAAACAAACTTACTTCTATGATGCTCGATGAGTCAATATGACGTTACCGATATTATTACTTTTTTTTTGGGGGGGGGGTTCTTTTTGACCCTGTAGCCCCAGCTGGCCTGGAACTCACAATGTGAACCAGGCTGGCCTTGAACTCACAGATATCAACCTGCCTCTGCCTCCCAAGTGCTGGACTACAGGCGTGCACCACCATGCCTTTTTTACGAACATTATTAAATAATAATAACTCCCTCAATAATAACAACAATAAAATACTCTGATTATCATAAAATACTCTAAGATATCAGAAAATTTGATCCTAAAGCTTCCCTCTAAAATAATGTATTAAGGAAACAAAGTAGTTCAATGTCCTTGATCTAAACTATATAAAAGAACAAGAAACATCACAGAAGAAAGTTTTAAAAGAGACAAGTGTGTTTCTGATTCTCTACACTTTTTAAAAGACAGTTAAGGGATATGACAGAAGAGCACCTGCATAGCATGTACAAGTCCCTGGGTTCAGTTCCCAACGGGGTGGAGGGGGTGGCACCTATATTTATTTAAAGATATGGAGAAAGTGAATGTGAGCTTGGTAACTTCATGTGGATTTTGGTATTAGTAAGTCTCTAAACTGTAAAAGGGGAATTCCATATTGACTGATTAGGCAAATTTCTCTCCAAGTCAAAGTCTAACAGAGTAAAAAAAACAATTACAGTTATCCTAGACTTTCACTCAGAAAAGACTTGTGCTCAAAGACTTGTGCGATGAATAGGAGTGGAGGCCAGGAATCCCTGCTGAAGTCAGCAGAGAAAGAGGGCAAAGGGTGATCTGTCTGTCTCTGGGGCTCAGCACAGTAACACACATCTACAATCCTAGTTCCTCAGGAGACTGAGGCTGAAGGGGTCTTTTTTTTTGGGGGGGGGTGCCTCCCTGAAGGTAAGACTCTATTGCTGAAGACACTATACACTTTGGACACAAGATTTAAAGAAATTGATCTGGAACTGACCTGAAAGCCTCTTCCCTGAGGACTTAGCTCTCATAGCATCAGAAGGTAC